AAACGTGGGTTTAGAGGTGGTGAGCGCACAAAGAGGTAGAGGAGGATGAGGGACACGTGTGTCCGAGTTAAAAAGTATCTCAAATACAAAAAACACAATATAAACACACTATCTTGGACTGGATACACGACAGACTACCACAGAACAGCGCCACACCCTCTGGTGTCCTGGCGGGGAATTGCTTTGCAACACTCCCCAGGAGACGGTCTCCATCCGTGCATGCCTCTCCCTCATGGAGCTGACGGAGAAGTATAAATTAGGCTTTAATCACTGGACCTCAGGGACCTGCTGGGGGTGTAGGGACTAAGAAGATCACCAATGTAAGATGGTGCTTGTCCATGTAAGGCCCTATAGACCAGAACCAGGATCTTGAAATGAACCCTGGAGTTGACTGGCAGCCAGTGAAGCTGGAGGAGAAGCGGGGTGATGTGGGTGTGTTTGGAGGACTTGGTCAGAAGCCGAGCACAGGCGTTCTGAACCACCTGTAGACGGTTCAGGGAGGTTCTGCTCAGACACGTGAAAAGAGAGTTACAGTAGCCTAAGCGTGAGGAGATGAAGGTGTGGAGAACTGTCTCAAGTTCAGAGCGGGACAGAATGGGACTCAGCTTAGCAACGTTCCTGAGATGGAAGAAGAAAGAGCCAACAAGAGAACGGACATAAGAAACCAGGGTGAGAGCTGGGTCAAAGGTCACGCCAATATTCCTGACAGAAGGTTTGGTGAACTGAGGTCCCCTATCGGATATGTAACATGATGACGGAGCTATTCCACCGAAGGTTATTTACCCTCTCTCCTCAGATGTCTCTGACACATAACTAATCTGCATGAGATATTGCTCAAGGTCATGCATTTGCTTCTAAAACTGTTTCCCTTCCAGCTCACGAGAAGAATGAAGACAAAGAATTCTTTCTTTTAATAAATCAGAAGAACTCTACTTTTAATAAAGCTAATCAAACAAAGTGTTAGTCGGATAATAAATGTGAACCAATCAGTGAAATGACAATGTTTATGATTAATAGATTTTAATAAGTAATATAACTTTAAAGGTTTCCACTAGAGACTGATCACACGTAATGTAAAAGTCACATGACACATTACTTTTTTGATCCATTCAGAATATTCCAGATCTGACGGAGGCGTGGTTTTGGTGGTGCTTGGTAAATCTGTCCCCTTTTGATTAGACCGTAAATGAAAACATCCAGATTATAAAACTATGCCCACGTCATCTTTAACGCCAGTTCAAAGCGTTGTAGAGAAGTTGTCGGAGTGACCAGTCCATAACTTTCATCTTCAGCCGAAAGAACCAACGACAAGCTGGATACAATCTGTTGCTGTTCCACCTGCTGCAACAGTTCCTTTCAGAATAAAAGCTGAACCATCGACCCCCCTTTTGGGTCTCGCTAGATGCCAATAAACTGTCGTGACCCGGAAGTATCTGAAGACTGGTTTGGACGGCAACCGCTGCTTTTCCTACCGGCTTCGGTTCCAGAGAAGGTCAAGCTGGACCTCAACATTCCTGATCCGACGGGGACTTCCGCAAAGGGTACGTAGGCCGACAGAATGGCGTCTCAATGTCGTCGTCGTCTTCCTCTGCTTATCTGGGTCTGGGTCGCGGGGGAGCTCCAGACCAGCCTCTCCCCGGCCACCTCCACCAGCTCCCCCGTCAGAACCCCAAGGCGTTCCCGGACCAGATTGGAGATGTAACCTCTCCAACGTGACCTGGGTCGACCCGGGGGCCTCCTGCCGGCAGGACATGCCCGAAACACCTCCCCAGGGAGGCGTCCAGGAGGCATCCTAACCAGATGCCCAAACCACCTAAACTGGCTCCTTTCGATCCGGAGGAGCAGCGGTTCTACTCCGAGTCCCTCCCGAATGTACGAGCTCCTCACCCTATCTCTAAGGCTGAGCCCGGCCACCCTGCGGAGGAAACTCATTTCGGCCGCTTGTATCCGCGATCTCGTTCTTTCGGTCATTACCCAAAGCTCATGACCATAGGTGAGGATTGGGACGTAGATCGACTGGTAAATCGAGAGCCTGGCTTTCTGGCTCAGCTCCCTCTTCCCCACGACAGATCGGCTCAGCGTCCGCATCACTGCAGACGCCGAACCAATCCGCCTGTCGATCTCCCGATCCCTCCTACCCTCACTCGTGAACAAGACCCCGAGATACTTAAACTCCTCCACTTGAGGTAGGACCTCTCCCCCGACCCGGAGTTGGCAAGCCACCTTTTTCCGGTCGAGAACCATGGTCTCAGATTTGGAGGTGCTGATCCTCATCCCAGCCGCTTCACACTCGGCCGCGAACCTACCCAGCAAGAGCTGAAGGTCAGAGCTGGATGAAGCTAGGAGGACCACATCATCCGCAAAAAGCAGAGACGAGATTCTCCTGCCACCAAACTCGACACACTCCACACCACGGCTGCGTCTAGAAATTCTGTCCATAAAGGTGATGAACAGAACCGGTGACAAAGGGCAGCTCTGGCGGAGTCCAACCCTCACCGGGAACAGGTCCGACTTACTACCGGCTATGCGGACCAAACTCACGCTCCTCTGGTAAAGGGACTGAATGGCCCTTAATAGAAAGCCACCCACCCCATACTCCTGGAGCGTCCCCCACAGGGTGCCCCTGGGGACACGGTCATAAGCCTCCTCCAAATCCACAAAACACATGTGGATTGGTTGGGCAAACTCCCATGCCCCCTCCATCACCCTTGCAAGGGTATAGAGCTGGTCCACAGTTCCACGGCCAGGACGAAATCCACATTGCTCCTCCTCTATCTGAGGTTCAACTATCGATCGGACCCTCCTCTCCAGTACCTTGGAGTAGACTTTTCCAGGGAGGCTGAGGAGTGTGATCCCCCTATAGTTGGAACACACCCTCAGGTCACCCTTCTTAAAGATGGGGACCACCACCCAGGTCTGCCACTCTACAGGAACTGCCCCCGACGACCATGCAATGTTGCAGAGACGTGTCAACCATGACAGCCCTACAACATCCATAGCCTTGAGATACCCAGGACAAACCTCATCCACCCCCGGGGCTCCACCGCTGTGTAGTTGTTTGACTACCACAGCAACTTCTGCCCCCGAGACGTCCAATCTCGGGGACGTCTAAATGTGTGTTATAAATCTCCAGTGTTGGGAAAGTTACTTTAAAAAAGTAATTAGTTATAGTTACTAATTACTTTGTCAAAAAAGTAACTCAGTTACTGAGTTATGAGATTATAAAAGTAACTATTTACCAAGAAAAATAACTACTTAGTTACTTTTTTCATTAAAGAATGCTAGAAAAATGGGTTAATTAAACTTACTTAATTTACTATAAATTACTACAATAGTAAAATATAAATGACTAATGACTGGAACATAATAAAATGTATGTTAAAATGTTTTTATAAAGCTGAATAATTTAAATAAATAAGCACTTAACAGGAGGAACTACTAACAGGAGCATTACACTTATCTAGACTATTAAAAGGTCACTGTGTGATATTTAACAAGACCCCAATCAGCTAACATTTAAAACACCTGTAAAGGTTCCTGAGCCTTTAAATGGTCTCTCAGTCTAGTTAAATTATAGAAATGAATGTAATTTTGTACAGTATTTAAAATTTTTCCAGCTTCACATAATTGTGTGTTTTTAGCAGCATTTCTGTTGCTGCTAATCTAGTAACGGTTAAATAAATAAAACCTTTAAAATGACACCAGAAGAGGCACAAATCTGATGGAGGACTTACATTTACTAACGTGGGTCAGACCCAACCACAGAAGAGCTGAAGCTGGGTGGTAAACACACACAGGTAGTTCTGATAACACCTGAGCTCCATGACGTCTGAGACAGATGCATCAGTGTTACAGCGAGACTGAAGACATGATCAGAAACAGGTTACAGCTGGATGATCTAGGAAGGTAGAAGATCAGGACTTCTGAGCGGTGAACAGGTGAGCGGACCTTCAGGACGTCCCGCTGTCACGCTAAGAAGGGCTCTGCTGCAGATCCACACCTGCAGCCGTAGACTTGCTTGGCCGCAGCTTCCCAGCCAGCCCAATTGAACTCACCGGTGTCTATGGCTGACATCTACAGGATGTCCCATAGTGTCAAGAGATTCAACCCTCGACCAGGTAATTCATACCCGGTTGACACCTACCTGAGTGACCTCAGGCATCACTTTCAGCAATGTCCTGGAATGACTATGGAGGACAAGATCTTTTTAATAAGGTTAACCTCCGATGCCTTGGGTTTGTTCATCGATCGCCAGCGTAGTGCGATTGCAAATGATTACACCAGGCTGGAAGTTTCGTGCCGTGCCCCTTTTTGTCCACAAGATGGCCACAGTGGCCTTTGTCTCGCCTGTCTCCCGGTGCCCAGCTGCTCAAAATCAGTGATAATTACTGGACAGCTGTTAAAAGCTGCCCCTCAGCCATCAGTTCTTGGAGAAGGTCCAGGGGTAGAGTAGACTGGCAACAGTTTATTCTGCTCTCTTCTCCTCGGTCGCTTCCTTTGATGAAATTCGGTTTACTCGCTAGTTGATAACTCATTTTGGAATTGGGATTTAGGATTAAGACGATTTGGTATTTTGACTTTGGACCGGCTATTTGACCTCGATTTAGGATCTCCCCTTTTGTATTTAGATATTAACATTAATATTATTGGTTGTTTATCCCCATCCCCTTCTGGGTTGGCGCTTTTTGTTTCTCCTCTTGAATATCTGCGTTTGTTTTGTATATAGTATTGCTTTTTAGTTCCTTGTAAATATCCCATTTTTGTAATAAAAGTCTTGGTTTTAAGCGACACTGCACTTTATTATTATTTAATCCACACACCACTTTTATTACTTCCCTCCTCATCTCTCCTAGAGAGCCGGGGACGTAACAATTTAGGGGCTCGTCCGGGATTTTTTATTATTCACCATCTTTCCCGACTTATTAATTGTGTGTAAAAATATTAACATTGTGTTTGTGTCCCTTAGACGCGGAGCATGGCAACCTTTGACCTGCATGCATTTGTGGCGGCTCCTTCGCGCCGGCTTCTGGAGAGTTGCCGCAAAACCGACCTGCAGCAGATTGCCGCCCACTTCAGTCTCCCTCTGCCGAAACAACTGACTAAAGACGCTCTGCGTAAATGGTGGTGGACTATTTTGAAACCCTGGGAATTCTCCCTTCGCAGTCCACTCCTGGTGTGTCTCCGCCGCCCTCGGATAAGGATAAGGGCCGGCTCGATTCGAAGAGGGAGACCCTCGCTTCAGCTCCGCCTTCCTCAGATGAAGATTCGCCTCCAGCTTCCGTCTCGTCCGGAGCTAGTCCTCCCAGCCACTGTTAATTTTGTTGACAAAATATTTTCGTCTTTTTTTTCGTCACGAAAATATATTTACAGACGAAAATGAAACAAAAATTCAAAATAAAAGCTGGGAAAAAGACGAAGACGATAATTAAATTGATTGAAACTTTTAGTCAACGAATGAAAGACGAGACGAAAATCTACGATGACACTCTTCTACATGGCGCTCTATGGTGCGATGCGACTATTGTGTTGTTGTGAGATGCGAACGTAGTAGAAGACAAGGGGCGTGGCGTGCCGTGAACGTGCGGGACGTGAGCGAAGACAGACCCCGAATAGTATAAAGGGGCAGGTATGCGCGGCGGTATGCTAAATATAGCTCACGAATATATCGACGGCATAAGAAGAAGGAGTAGAGGAAAATGTTAACTGCTGGGCGAAAAAGAAGAGAAGATGTGTGGAGTCATTTTTCCTATGATAACATTGCTACCAAAACTACATGCCGAGAGTGTGGACTGTCGTTCCAACGAATCTGAAGAGGCATCTACAGAATGGCCACTTCGCCATTTTCTCCGAGGTAAATCCACTTAAATGTACACGTGACGACCCGAAAAGTAATATACAGGCAAATAAAACTGTATCAACCCTGTCATGTTGGGATAAAAATTCGGAAGTACCGTATTTTCATGACTATAACGTGTGTTATTAGGGAAATAGCGGGCGAGCAGTGCTGATGCATGATTGCGCATGCACCGTGAGCAGTACTGGTACTTTTTGGGTCGCAGCCGCTCGCTGCACGTGCGCTCTAAACCAGGACTAGACCAGTAAAGTGAAGCATGCTTTTGGTTGTTTATAATTTTCACAATGTCTGGTTTGCACTGATATGATCCGAGTCCCGAGCCCGCACAGATGTTTTACCGGTTCGTTTTATAACGATATATATATATATATATATATAATGTATGAAATCTCAAAAAGCAACAGGTAAATCATTGTTAGAAAGTCAATGTTTTAATTGTGTATTTTTATTTTTTTGCAGTTGCAGAAAACCATTGCTGATGGTGGCCAACCAGCTACCAAAAAGGCAAAAATGTCCAACCAGAACATTGAGGACGCATTTACAAGTACTACAAAGTACAAGAGTGATGCCAAAGAACAACAAATTAAAGAAGAGGCTATCGCTACATGGATTGGATGCACAGGATTGCCGGTCACAACAGTAGAAGATGAGGATTTTATTCTGATGATGGAAAGTTTGGATAAGAAGTTTACTGTGCCAAAGAAAACCAAGATAAGTAATCTAATTGAAAAACACTATGAAAACAAAAAAGCTACATTTAAGAAAAGACTGTCTAGTGCCAGAAAAGTATGTATTGGGACTGATCTGTGGACTAAACAGGGACTGACAGCATCATTCCTTGGCATAAGTTGCTGCTTTTTCTGTGTTGAAGAACAAAAACCAGAACACTTACTGCTAGCTCTTGAACAACTTGACCATCCGCACACCGCCCAGTCCATTAAGGCTTGTGTGGAAAAGTGCATGCAAGAATGGGGGATCCCAAATGAGAAAGTTCTCACCGTAATAACAGACAATGGTAGCAATATGGTGGCAGCATTCAAACATAGTGCTCCAGAAGATGAAGATTCCAGCTCCGATGGTCCAGATGCATCCATCCTAAGTGAAAGTGATTCCAAGGAGACAGAAAACCTGCAGTGTCAGGACATGGGCATGGACAGGATGCCATGTGTCGTCCATACGCTTCAGCTTGTTGTCCACATGATAAACAAGGAGGAAAGCATCAACAGAGTCTTGAACAAAGTCCGATCAATCGTGAAACTTTTTCGCAAGTCATCAGTCGCAACACAGAAGATTTTGGATGAGTGCGGCCTAACTGTTGGGAATGACTGTCCCACACGCTGGTCAAGTACTTATGAAATGGTTGCACGTCTCCTCAAAGTTAAAGAATCTGTTTGTGAAGTAGCAGACGAGATGGGATGGGACTGCTTGCTCTCATGTGAGTGGCAGAGGCTGAAGTCAATGCAAGAACTTTTGCAGCCTTTTGCTGAACACACACAAACTCTTCAGAGTGACACAATGTCTATGTCATTAACACTCCCTGCTCTCTTTGATTTACTCAGCCATCTGGCAGATGTGGAACAAAACACAAGTCGAGATGTTGCTGCTCTAGCACGTAAAATCGAAGGGAATGTGAACCAGCCTTTTGCATGTGTTAAAGATCCCTCAGATGACAAGTTTTCCCCACTTGTAGCAGCTGCTTGCTTTCTCAATCCTACTGTGTGTCAGACCCTCCTCAATGTGGCTGATGATAACATTCAGGAGCTGCTCAAGCAGGCAGAAGGGTATGTTGTTCGGTGCTCTCAGACACAGGAGAACCACTCTGATCTGGAGGAACTGAATGGACCTGAACCGGCACCACCCGCCGCCGCCTCCTCTTCATCATCTGCCTCCTCCTCCTCCAGACAACCAGTCTTCAGGTTTCTCTCCAAATTCAGAGCAAAGCCTAAACCAAAGTCTTCTAAGTGTAGTGTTAGACAGCAGATAAGCCAGTATAAGGAAGAGCTCTCACAGTCCATCACTTGTGAAACGGGAATGGAGTTTTGGCTTGGAAAATGTGACACATTTGATCCCAGCCTGAAACCATTAGCATTAGATATATTGGCAATGCCAGCTTCTCAATCTTTTGCAGAAAGTGTTCAGTATCACAGGTGACCTCACTAGAGGGAAACGCAACCGAGCAAAGGTCACACTAGCACGAAGTGCTTTCCTCAAAATGAATCGCAGCAAATAAATATTCACACTGTTTGGTTGAGCCAGTGTTGTAACAAGTGAATATCTACAGACTCAGGGTTAACATGTTTAAATTTGCTGTTCTTGTAAATTCTTGTTGTGCAATTGCTAAAAAGAGCACCTTTGTAATTTCCAGTGTGCTTTTTGTTTTTTTATTAAACACGTAAGTGTTAAACATGTGAAGTGTTTTTTTATTCAAATATTCTATGTTCTTAGCTGTGTGTGCTATATCTGATCAGTGGTGGTTAAGAGTTTGGACCCTGTGTATTAAATTAAACTAGTTTTTCCGTGCTCTATACAAAAGTAGGAAATTACTTCATTAGAAAAAAATATTTGCATTTTGTTGACTAAAATTGCTTATTTTTATCGACTAAAATTACTTGTTATTTTCGTCGACTAAAATGGGACTAAAACTAAAATAAATCTAATGACTAAAATGGACTAAGACTAAAATTAATTTTTAGCCAAAAGACTAAGACTAAAATAAAATTAAAATTTCCTGTCAAAATTAACACTGCTCCCAGCTCACCGCTACCCGAAGCCCGATTGAAGCTGCGACTGGCTCGTTTAAAGATAGAAGCTGAGGAAAGACCCTAGAACGAGCCCTGCGACATAAACTCGAATTAAAACGCATGGACACTGAGGTTCGCCTCCCAGAAATAGCCCTCCAGATGAGGACTCTGGAAGCCGCCGCTTCCTCGAACCAGATGGCTGCCGACCGTCCTCCGCCCTCGTCTTCGCCTCCCCATGCCCTGCACCGAGACGCCTCTCCATCTCCTCCAGGATCCACATCGTTTCTGCCCGCATTTGACATCAGCAAATGCATCTCCCTCCTTCCACCGTTTAGGGAAACTGAAGTGGATGGGTTTTTCCTTGCTTTCTAACAGATTGCGGTGACTCTGCAGTGGCCTCGTGAGGTGTGGATGTTACTTTTGCAATGTAGGCTCACAGGTAAGGCCCTTCAGGTTATTTCGGCTCTGTCTCTAACGGACAGTTCCAATTATGAATGTATAAAAGCCGCCGTGTTAAACGCGTATGAACTCGTTCCTGAGGCGTATTGTCAGTGCTTTCGTCTTGAAAAACCTCGGCCTAATCAGATATATATTGAATATGCTCATGAGAAATCAGTCCTCTTCGAAAAATGGTGTTCAGCTTCAGGGGTAGACTCCTTAGCTGACCTCAAAGAACTAATCATGGTGGAGGAGTTTAATAGACACGTGCCTGAGAGGCTCGTTTTGTATTTAAACGAACAGAAGGTCTCAACTCTTTCAGCTGCTGCACAGTTAGCAGATGAGTATAAGCTAACGCATCGGTCTTGGGGGCCAAGAGCTGACCCCGGTCGAAGTAGGAGATCCTCTGACACCTCCTCTGACTCCAGTGACCTTCCAGAATGTTTTTATTGTCACGAAAAAGGTCATTTTATTAGGGATTGTTTTCGTCTCAAGCGAAAAAACCGGAAGAGCGTAAACCCCCCGTCACCGAAGCCCGTGGCCTGTAGTCTTGGTTTTAAGCGACACTGCACTTTATTATTATTTAATCCACACACCACTTTTATTACTTCCCTCCTCATCTCTCCTAGAGAGCCGGGGACGTAAAGTCCCATCAGTTGTCACACACACAGGTGTGTGTGCGAAATTTGTTCTCCGCATTTGACCCATCCCCTGGGGGAGCGGTGAGCTGCAGACACAGCCACGCTCGGGAACCATTTGGTGGTTTAACCCCCAATCCAACCCCGTAATGCTGAGTGTCAAGTAGGGAGGCATTTGGTCCCATTTTTTTTCTAAGTCTTTGGTATGACCCGGCCAGGAATTGAACCCTGATCTCCCAGTCTCAGGGCAGACACTCTACCACTAGGCCACTGAGCTGGTCACACTGCAATTAAAAAATAATGCACCTATGATGCTAAGGAGCCTGGTATAAAGTTAGCTTTGACAGTCAAACAGGGTTGCACTGAAGACCCGCAAGCCTTCTATCTACGCTTCTTTGACACATACAGTACTTCAGTACGGAATGTAAGGAGGGGATGGAAGATGAGAAAGGTTTCAAGGAAATATTCCTTGAGAACCTATATCCTCAGTACAGCCCCTAAATGGGTACAGTGGACACGAAAACCACACCCATGGATGAGCTCATAAGAATGGCAAGTTGTGCCTTTAGACGGTTTGACAAATCCAGTAAGAGTTTGCGCGCTTCATCAGTTCTGGCGGTGGAGGCAAGCCCCTCGTCGCTGCTACTCGAAGGGACTGCATCAGGGACTCAAAAATAATAACCGCAACAATGGGTCTAAACAACAGGCCCAGAAATCCAATAACAACTTCAAGCCATAAGGCTTTCCAAATAACAAGCCTCAAAATCCAAACAGACCCCGGACCCCTCCACCGGCTCGTGGAGGGGACCCTAAGTCACCACGACTCGGCTGCGATAAAAGCCACGTTTCTTTTAAAGAAAAGGGGGATTCATCATACTCCTTCAGGAGAGAGTCGCCTCACCCAGGCGAGAGCTGCGCTTCTTCTGGCCGAAATTCACCGCGTAGTACTCGCAAGGATTAAATTCCTGCCCCAAGGCCGAGAAATGATTTTGGGAGCCGGTCTCCTGGAAATATTCATGCCCTGGGTGCCGTACTTCTTGACCTGTTGAGATTCAACAGAACGTGAGTCGGTTCTGTGCATCTCTGTGGTAGAACCTCCTCAACCTGCCTCTGGCTTGGTCATGGAAGCAGGTCCTGTAGAGGCAGAGCCTGCCACAACAGTGCATACACCGACAACTGAGACCTCTGCGGGGCCTGGGGTGGTCGCTTCAGTCAGCGCTAGTCCTCTAGCACCCACAGAACCTGCAATCGGACCTTGCCAACCTAGCTCACCGATCAGACTTCCACAAAGGGTTCTCTGCAGTATCTGTAAAGGTCCTACTGACAAACCTCATATTCCGGTGACCCTGGAGGGGGCGCTGGACTGTGAGGGTGTCTTGGACTCCGGTTCAGATTTCACCATCATGTCCAGCTCTCTCTGGGAGCAAGTCCGCATGGCTGCAGCTACACAGGGTCCCGTCTTAGGACTCGCGCCCTGCGTTGTGGGCATCCATCCGTACTCTTCAGGCCAAATGCCCTTTTCAAAGGTGGTGTCGACTTCACAGTGGGAGACATGTTTGTGAGCCATCCAGTGTTTGTAACTAACGTTGAAGCGTTTCCCTTCGTGTTGGGAGGGGACCTGCTCCAACGCTTAAAGGCTGTCATTTCACTCGGTGATTGGACACTCCAAACTTGGTTGACTCAACCGACGCCCTTGGCGTCTCTTGAGCACCTCATTACCTTTTCAGGCGGTGTTAACCACAACGGCGCTACAAGCCTGGTCGGTCAATCCAGTACCAGTAAGGTCAGTGACATCCAGAGAGTCTGCATCGTCTCTGCATCGGGACCACTCCACCCTGTGGTGGGGAAACCACCTACCCTAGTGGGAGTGGGCGGTTGCAGTGACACACCACCTGAGACTCTGCACCCTGCAGTGGGGACACCACCTGCCAAAGGGGGGACTGATGGTGGCGCTGATACTCCGGCTGAAGCCCAGTACCTTGCGGTGGGGACTCCACCTGCCAAAGGACAGGCTGATGATGTCACTGACACTACTGCACTACAGCAGACGCTGGTGACCTCTAGCCCCGAGGTTGGTGACTCACCTACCAAAGGCGAGGTTGATTGACCCCAGTCTCTCTGACTGCACCTGCACATCGTCCGAGGGCCCTCCAGAGTGCTTACCTTTGCCAAACCCTCGCAAGGCCGCGCCAGTGTACAACCTAAACCGTCCTTGGTTTCCATTTGCAGCTTTGATAAAGTATGTTTTGTTAGTCGAGTGCATTGGTCTGATAACGACCGCAGCCGAGGTTCATTCTCAGCCTCCTCTAACGCGTCTGTGCAAACCTGGGCCCTCTTCAGGTATCACACTACAAGACCGCCCAGGTCTACTAATGACTAACAATCGTCTATTTACACAAAATATTTTTGTCAAATTCGGCCCCGCTATGGCGTGTACTGATAAGATGAAGAGTGCTTTCGGCAACCTCTCGGAAATGGGTGCCCACTGGACTAGTACCCTGACACAGCATGCAGAAGCTGACATCCATCACATGTGTAACGTGAGGAAATATGGGTTTTCTGTAACAAAGGTCAGTTGACTCGGCTGGGTCAAGTGCTGGGTCGCTGAGAACTTTCACCCACAGATTGAGACCTTTGCAGACATGAAGTCTGCAAGAGTCTGCTGGAAACCATAACATCTGCCACCTGCAGCGCCAGAAGATGTGTTCTCATGGAAAAGTAGTCATAACATAACAAACTTTCTTTCCTTTATTTTAAGATGTTAAATGATCATTTTACCATTTTGCTCATTATAAATGTGTTTAATCAAATGAATGATTATTATGCTTTGGGTAATCATAATAACTAATGAATCACTGCTTAATTAAATAATGTTCTGAGGATGTTTTAGTGGTGACCTTCACACACACACATCTGCTCTCACAGTAAACTCCAAAACACATTTGCTGACGCACACGTTTTGCTTTGAGAAGAGAAAGGCTTTTGGTAAGTTTTTCAGTTCATGATTCAGTTCGTGCTTGACAACGAAAGAGAGAAGACCTGAATAAACGCTAAAGGGGGGACAGAGCCGATCGGCTCACCCCCCCCCCCCCCCCCCCCCGCTATTCCTAGGAATAGCTGAATTGCAACAACTAACGCGGACTCGCCTCGAGTCCTTTGATTTCTGAGTAAATTAAACTTAAGAAAACGCATCTGCAAACGTTTTTCCATCAACGTGTACCGCGGGCATCTCTGGACCGGGTCGCGGACATCTCCGTCTCCTCTGCCAGCTGCTGGTGTCACCTGGATGAACCATCACCATCCTCTGGCGTCCCGGATCTAAAAGAGGGTCCGACTTTAGGTGAGGCAGTCCACGGCAGATAACATTTGATGCGTCTTTTCCAATAAGACCTAAGTTTATCCAAAACATCACGTTCACTCAGACACCTGTTTCTTCCTGAAGCAAAATCAGATGCACACACGCATTCATCTCACCTCATATTCAGTCTTCACCCATTCACCACAAGGTCTATTTGTGCAAGCTTACAATATCAACTGTTAAAGATTGTTCAACAAAGTTGCCAATGTTGATTGATGTTCCTCTGCTTGTTATTTCAAAATCATTAGTTTAATTTGAAGAATTAAAACTTTTAACTTTCAAACTTGTTTCTTCATTGAACTGAAACACAGACACACGGATATTATCGTCAGTTTATCAATGAAAACAACCTTTGAGTCTTCTTAAAACTATACAATTTGGTTATTAATTTAATAAAATTAATATCACAAATTAATATGTAGAATGGTTCCTCTTTCATAAAAGAGCATAAACCATAACGCTACACATGCTATTCCAAGCACTTAAATTCACGGTTTCTAACAGTGATCTTGCCGGTACCAGCATTAGGCCAAAACGTTTCCTGGACGGATTTTTCTCAGTTGCTAATACAATTGGCAATCTTTTAAATTTCGGATTCCATTCAGTCAACTCGATTGAGATTAACACAGTTTGCCGACACGTTGATGAGTT